TTAGACCGAGGCGCCGACTCCAGTTTGGGGAATACCTGGAGATTCGGGGGCGGAGCCTGGGGAGAGGCGGGGTTTGGGGGAGGGAGGGGCCTCAGGGGGGATATAGCGCCACAGAGTCCACCCTGCAAAGCATCCGTTTTCTCCGGGGGAACTGATCTCTGTACTCTGGACATCGGCTGTAATTCTGAGAGATTTCCAGACCCCACCTGGAGTTCGGCAACCCCAGAATTTGGACGGTAATGATGGGGAGTAACGGGACCCCCGGGGCACGCCATACATCGGGGGGGGGCAGGGCAAACCTACCTCATCGGTATGCCCTGAAAGCCCTGCAGGGTCACTGTGAGTCGGCCGCGACTTGACGGCACTTTAGATGCACACACAATGCGGGGCGCAACCGGAAGCCTCCTCACAGCTGATCTTCCGTGGAGATTTGCTTCTTCTCCAGCTTTTGTATTTTCTTCTTCACCTTTTGTGCAGTGGCGTCCACTTCTTTCACCTTCTCAGCTGAGAAGGTTGCATCTAACTTGTGAGAGGTTAAGTGGAGAGATGTGTTCTGTGTTCTCTGTTATATGTTGGGAGAAGGGGTGAACTTTTCATCCAAAAAGAAAAAGAAAAAGATCTACTGCAGGGATCCCCAACCTTTTTGAGCCTGGAGCCTGGGGGCACATTTGGAATTCCGACAGTGTGGTGGGTGTGGCTACAAAATGGCCATTTTTTAAATTAATATTTATTTCAAAATGGCTGCCGCAGGAGGCGGCGCCAGCCACAAAATGGCTGCCACAGCTTACCGTCAGTCACAGTGAAGATTTTTTTGTGTCGTGGTGGTAGCTGCTGCGAGAAACATTTTTACAAATTTGCACAGCTGATCAAATCTCCACTGACCAACCAGAAGACTTGCTGGGCAAAAGCCCCAGCTGGCCCCACCTACTTCACTTTTTTATTTTTAAAATGTTTCTGCCATCAAGTTAAGCTGACTTCCGGCGACCCTCGTGGGGGTTGAAGGCAAGGGATGTTCAGAGGTGGCTTGCCATTGCCCGCCTCTGCGCCACGACCCTGGTATTCCTTGGAGAGCCAGTTTGGTGTAGTGGTTAAGTGCGTGGACTCTAATCTGGGAGAACCGGGTTTGATTCCCCACTCCTCCACTTGCACCTGGCTGGATGACATTGGGCAAGCCGTAGTTCTGGCAGAGCTGTTCTTGAAAAAGAGCAGTTTCTGTTAGAGCTCTCCCAGCCCCACCTACCTCACAGGGTGTCTGTCGTGGGGAGGGGAAAGGAGTTTTTAAGCCGCTCTGAGACTCCGAGTGAAGGGTGGGGTATAAATTCTTCTTCTTCTTCTTCTCCCACCCAAATACTAGCCAGGGGCGGCCCTGCTTAGTTTCCGAGATCTGACGAGATTCGGGCTTGCCTGGGCTATCCAGGTCAGGGCACCACACACACTGTCTAAAAACACTTGGAGGGCACCAGCAAAGGTGCTCGCAGGTGCCATGGTGCCCACGGGCACCACGTTGGGGACCCCTGACATGGGGCCCTTCTAGCACCGGTGACTGGCTGAACACAATCCTCCCTTACAGGAACATTCCTATGGAACCACCAGTTCCTGAGACAAGAGCAAGCAAGACTCGGAAGCTGAGTGAAAAGGAAAGCACTTCCTCAACATGGCTGCACTTGGCGTAAGTGGGGATGAAACAAACAAACAAAAAACGGCACCGGCTTTGAATGCCGGAAAGCAGGCTCGGTCTGTAGCTTGGCACTTTATTTGCTACTGCCAGAAACAGCAGCAGCCTACCCAGGGGGTCGACGGTGAAGTCCCTCCTTTTTTTGTATGTTACGTAGCTGTGCCAACAGCAGCAGAGTTCTCGCCTGGGCTGACGTAGTGGGTCACAGCCGTGCCGCAGAGAAGTAAGCGGGGCCCAGGAGGCAGAGGCATAAAACAGACAGAGGCAGGCGTCACACAGGAAATCTTCGGAAATTGCCCACTTAGGGTCTCCTCCTCCCCAAACATGGTTCCTACTCCAAGTTCATAAAGGGATCTACTCCAAGAAAAGCCAGAGGGGGAAGCTGTGGGTACGGTGACTTGAGGTGCACCTTTTTGTGTTAGACCGAGTCGCCGACTCCAGTTTGGGGAATACCTGGAGATTCGGGGGCGGAGCCTGGGGAGAGGCGGGGTTTGGGGGAGGGAGGGGCCTCAGGGGGGATATAGCGCCACAGAGTCCACCCTGCAAAGCAGCCATTTTCTCCGGGGGAACTGATCTCTGTACTCTGGACATCGGCTGTAATTCTGAGAGATTTCCAGACCCCACCTGGAGTTCGGCAACCCCAGAATTTGGACGGTAATGATGGGGAGTAACGGGACCCCCGGGGCACGCCATACATCGGGGGGGGGCAGGGCAAACCTACCTCATCGGTATGCCCTGAAAGCCCTGCAGGGTCACTGTGAGTCGGCCGCGACTTGACGGCACTTTAGATGCACACACAATGCGGGGCGCAACCGGAAGCCTCCTCAGTCGAGGGAGTATGCCTGGGGCGAGTAGCAGCGCTCATAAAACCGTTCAGCTTGGGTGCAACGGCTGCCTTGTTGTTTAACTGGTCGAGAGCAGCCCTTGACAGTTTGGTGAGCCAGTTTGGTGTAGTGGTTGAGTGCGCGGACTCTAATCTGGGAGAACCGGGTTTGATTCCCCACTCCTCCACTTGAACCTGGCTGGATGGCCTTGGGCAAGCCGTAGCTCTGATAAGAGCTGTTCTTGAAAAGGAGCAGTTTCTGTCAAGAGCTCTCTCAGCCCCACCTACCTCACAGGGTGTCTGTTGTGGGGAGGGGAAGGGGAAGGAGCTTGTGAGCCGCTCTGAGACACCTTTGGGTAGTGAAGGGCGGGATATAAACCCAATCTCCTCCTCTTCTTCTCCTCCTTGACCCCAGAGGTCCTGATTCCATGCCCCCCACCTCCAGACTTTGGCCGAGGGGGTGGTATCTTGCTTGGATTGAGGGAACTGTCCTCTCTGACCAAAGCCTTGCGGCCGAATGGGGCGTAAGACGCCTCGCTGTCTGGTGGAGGCGCGAAAGCCACAGAAATGGTGCCCGCACTCTTGTGAGGCAACGGTATCTTCCGAGATGCGGGCACCTGCTGACCTGTGTGCGTGCGCAGACCTGGCTTTTCCTGTGGTGAACCCAAACACCAAGGGGTCATCGAGGACAAGCAGGCTTTCCTGCACATCTCTGGACCACAGCTGGTTCCGGGCTCTTCTGCGTTCTGATTTTCATCACTCGCTTCAGGGTTTTCCCCCTCCAATGTGCTACGCTCTCTCTAGTCATCCCAGAGGAAGCAAAACACGTGTGGAAAAGGGGGGTGGGGCAAAGCAATAGGGACAAATGAGTGACCAAAATGAGAATGCGGAAGAGCCCAGGGAGTCCCTCTCCTCCCCTGACCACCACCAGGCCCCCGCATGTGCCTTTCTTCCAGCCCACCCACCCCCTCGCCTGTGTTTCCTTCCCCTGCCCATCCGTGAGCCTTCCCACTGACCATTGGACCATTCCCCAATGCTGGTGGGTGGCCCTCGCAGATGGTGACACTGCCATTGTGCCTGCCAGGATCGCAGCCATTGTGTACGGCCTTCCCGGCCTTCCCTGGGAACACGTGGCCGCGGGGGCTTTGCAGCAGTGGCCCCACCAGAAACCCTGACGCCAGCCCTGTCTGGGGGAGTGCATCCCCCCGTCCCTTTCTTCTCCGGTCCCCTAGTGCTGACCTTTGGTTAACCACATGGCTCTGCTGCTATAGAAGTTGCAAAAAAGGGGGGGGGGTCTATAAGGATTGGGCTGCCGGAGGGTCTAGTAATTGTGGGGGGCTTCAGCGCTAGACACAGGTCCTGCCCTCCTCAGTAATTTATCCCGTTCGTGCAGGTCACAACTGGCCCACAGGTCACAACTGGCCCATCCAGAGCAATTATCTGGCCTGCAAGCAACTGATTACCTTGATTGCCAGATGATAGAGGCTGTGCATGATGTCCCAGTGCAAAAGCATAACAGGTGGTGGAAGAGGGAGGGTGGGCATCAGGAAAAGACTGTAAGGAAATATTGTAAGAGTGTAAAGGTGCGTTCAGACGGGGCGTTTCAGCCGGCATAAACTGTACCGGTTGGAACCGGTGCAGTTTATGCTGGCTGAAATGCGATCACACTCACCTCCTGACTGCGCAGCACATCGCAATACGCCCGTCCACACACAGCGGGCGTCGGCGAGTTTTTTTAAAAACTTAGTTTGAGCATGCACATAGGCAGCTATCCACAGAATGGCGATCTTCATGCATGCGCAAAACACCCCATCTTACATTTAAAGTTTAAAGGTAAGGACTAAAGTTTAAAGAGTAAAGTGGCCTCCCTGAGGTCCCAGACTCCTCTAAAAGTTAAACTAAGGACCTTTTAAATTTTTTGTAAACAAACGCCGGGGCGAAGCTTCACCCAAGCGCATATCGCCGACCTAAAAAAAAAATGGCGGGCGAAAATTGGAAGCCTCAGGCTTCCGAACGGAAGTGGCTCTACAACGTTGGAGAGCGATCAGAGGGGGGGGGTAAAGCGATTACAACCGTTGCACTCAGGATACCACCACTTGGGGACCTAGTGGCTAAATACAATGGTTAGGGACGGAAGGCAGATGTTCGCCGTGTGAACGCCGGTAAGTACACCGATTCCAACCAGCACCTATACCGTTGCAAGTGCCCTGTCTGAACGCACCCTAAATGTTTTAAGCATGTTCGTATTTTGGGTAAAAAAATAATATCACTAATTGGGTTTGCCAGTGTCCTTTATAAAGTTTGTATCTCCTGGCATTATGTTTTATGGCACACGCGGCCCGGCCTGACAAAGTGACATTTCTGCCAGATCCAGCCCTTGCAACAAATGAGTTTGACGCCTCTGCGTTAGTAGATTCTTCTATTCGCTTCACCTCTGAATTCGAGTGTCTGGACTAAATAAACTATGGTAGACCACAGCTTTATAAAAAAGGGAATGATGCAGATCTAGCAGACGGCTTCCATAGTTGCAGCAAACCATTCTGGCTTCTTGGCAAGCGTGTCGCCACAGTCCTGCATCTATGTTCCCACGCTGCTTTCACTCATTTCCACAGAGGTCTTTGCAGTCCGAGAATCAAAAACGCAGTTTGCTCCCTCTTGTGGCGCAGCAAGGGAATTCCCGGAAACAGGGAAGTCTGATGTGCCGCAGGAGAGGACCAACCGCGTTTTTGCACCTCAGACTGCAAAGACCTCTGTGGAAATGAACAAAAGCATCGGAGGAACACAAATGCAGGAGCGACGAGGCCCATTTATGCGGGAAACATCTGTGTGTCACGTTGACATCAGTCTAGAGTCCCGGTTGGTGTGACGACTACTTTCCTCTACAGGTGCACCCGAGTTTCTTCTTGGGCCTCCTCTCTCCGGACTGCCTTCTGCAGAATAAACAAGACTCTCTGTGTGTCTCTGGTCGCCGTTGTGGTCCTGGCCGTCCTCTCCTCGTTCGTCATGGCCTGTTCGCTCCAGAGGCCTGCTGACGCCGCCCCCGTCGGGACGGGAAACGCCTGGACTTCGATCCAGCAGCTGCTGTGGCCGCACACGGGGCTCCGGCACGAGGGGCCCCCACCCGTGTAGCGTGCCCGTGATGCGTCACGCGGGCCTCTGCTTGCTGAGCTGGAGACCAGCCTGCGTTAGATCCTAGACTCTCAAGCTGTCTAAGTGACCAAAGGATCCAAGGTCCTGCCTAAAAAAACAAAGCTTCCCCATTGGCCGCCAAGGCCCTTTGCTTTCAGCCTCTAAAAATGTGACGACGGCACTTGCCGAACTTGCAGCTCCATGCTTTCTGGCGCTGCACTTCCTGTCTTTTTGAACGAATGACTTTTTTTTAAGTGTCTTTTTTTCCTTTCTTTCTATCCTACTTAACGTTTCAAGGTTTTGGGAAAATAAAAATGTCTTAATGTATTTGGGCGCGAACACAGCTTTTGATTAAACGTAGTGTATTTATTTATAAAACACGGGAGTTGTGTCTGGAGTCCGAAATCACCTTTGCATCTAACCCCTCGCAGACCGGGTCCTTGGCTTACTGCTGTCCGCTATCTTACGCGTAGGTCAGTACCCTGGTTGCCATCAGCAGCTGGCACACGCAGTCGACGAACAGGTAGTGAGCCTGTTTCACTCTCTCCAGTGCGGCTTCGCTGGCGGTGTCCTTCAGCAGGGTGAAGAACGTAGAGTGGAATTCCGACCCTTCCGTGATGGCCTTGGAGAACACCTCGCTGCTCTCGGCGATCTTGAGCTTCTGAGCCCGCTGCCCGTTGAACATGTAGAGGGCCCAGTTCCCCTCGGCGGCTTCCTCCTCCGAGTGTTCACAGGCCTGCAGCCAGGTGGGGGAGAGTTGAGTTCTTTGTTTTATTATTTTGATTCATAGCCCGCCCTCCCCGCACGCGGGCTCGGGGCGGCTCACAAATGGGGCACATGCCAATACGTAAAACAGGTTAAAAAAACAACATGAAAACAATCATTTACGATATTACAAGTGCTCAAGCTGTCCCAATCAATCTTCAATAAAGAGATGGTGTCTGAAAGACGGTGCTCCCAGCTCAGGGGTGTCGGCTCCACGCAGCGCTGTCGTTCACTCCTCACAGGGCCAGTGGGGAATGATGGTAAAGGTAGTGATGGTAAAGGTAGTGGCGGCTCCTACTCCAAAGCCTGGCGGAAGAGCTCCGTCTTGCAGGCCCTGCGGAACTGCGCAAGGTCCCGCAGGGCCCGGATCTCCACCAGGTAGGAGCCGCCACCGAAAAGGCCCTGGCTCTGGTTGCAGCAAACCTGGCCTCCTTGGGGCCTGGGGTCACCAGGAGATGTTGCGTCCCCGACCTTAGTGCCCGTTGGGGAACATATGGGGAAACCTATGGGGAGTTTTGTGTGATCACACCTAAGGACGGCGCTCTAGGCTTCAGGGATGGTGCTAGGTTTTGGAGGGTCCTGGGCAAGGAAGGCCAAGGGGTCCTCCTCTGGTCACCACCAGCCCCCCCCCCACTCACACCTTCCTTCCAGCTCACCTCCATGTCCACCCGCCTGTGTGTCCTTCCTTCAAATTTCCTGCACAATCATAAAATCATGGAGTTGGAAGGGACCTCCAGGGTCATCTAGTCCAACCCCCTGCACAACGCAGGAAATGCACAAATACCTCCCACCTCCACACCCGCAGTGACCGCTGTTCCACACCCAGAAGATGACAAAAAAAACCCTCCAGGATCCCTGGCCAAACTGGCCTGGAGAAAAATTGCTTCCTGACCCCCAAAGTGTCAATCAGCAAGAGGGAACAAGAGGGCAGAGCTGCTCCAACGAGAAGGAAAAGGAGTCTACCCAGTAAATATGAGCGTTTCCCCCACAATCCAGTTGGACCTAGGACCCAGAACCAAGAGGTTCCTAAACAAAAGTCTTATTGGGACAGACAGGGGTCATTTTGTAGAAAAAGAGGTGCAGGAGCTCATTAGCATACCTCATTAGCATAACTTATTTGCATATGCCACACCCCCTGACATCACCGGAAGTGTGTCAGAAGGCAACACCCACCGCTCAGGCTCCACTGGACTGTTTTGGATTGCTAGCTATTGGGGGGGGAGGGGAACGTGCAGATCTGTCCTCCCAGAAGAGGGAGAGCTTGTACCTGAATAAAACTTGGTCTTAAAGGTGCCACTGGACTGTTTGGGGCCGGGGTGGGGGGTGGGGGGGCTCTGCAACTTACCTGGCTGCTTCTTGCTCTGACTGAGGGCTGCTGGGAGCAGGGGGTGGGGCTTGTTGCATGCGCCCGCCCCCTGGGCTCTTTACTGCCGGAGCTCCGCTCCTGTGCGCTCCTGCAGGAAATGACCCCTGGGGACAGAGGTGTCCATACCACTCAGCTCAAGAGTCCAGTAAGAGGGGAGGGCCCAGAAACTCAGGGAGGACTTTGTTGAATGCCAAAGTCAACACACATCTTGCTTTCCTCTGGTGATTTTTTAATTTATTTACTTATTATTAAATTTATACCCCGCCCTCCCCAATGGGCTCAGGGCAGCTAACAAATGAGGCATGTAGGCCAAGCTAAACAGATAAAAGCAGGATAAAACAACAAAACAATCGTTCATGTAAAAATACAAGTGCTCTAGATGTCACAGATAACTGATGGGGTCCCAAAGCGACACAATAGACCCCAAGTGATACAGCGATCTGTCCTTCCTCCCAGGGCCGTCTCATTCCCCGATGACACCCACTCCATTTAGTGATGGTGGCGGCTCCTACTCAAAAGCCTGGCGGAAGAGTTCCGTCTTGCAGGCCCTGCGGAACTGCGCCAGGTCCCGCAGGGCCCGGATCTCCCCCGGGAGCTCATTCCACCAGTATGGGGCCGCCGCCGAAAATGCCCTGGCCCTGGCAACAGCATATTTAATATCTTTGGGGCCTGGGGTTACCAGCCGATGTTGAGTCCCAGACCGTAGTGCCCTTGGGGGGACATAGGATGAATCGACTTTGCATCACCTTTCCACAGAGAGCCACGGAGGGGCACACAAATGAAGCTGGAGGTCACTGGGCCTGCAGAAGAGCTGGCAGAGGGCTTGACCACACCACAGGGCTGTTGTGCTGTGGAACACTCGGTCTGGGGCAGCGATGCTCTTTGTTCTTGGTGCTTGGGGGGGGCAACCGTGGGAGGGCTTCTGGAGTTCTGGCCCCTGCTGGTGGACCTCCTGATGGCACCTGGGTTTTGGCCACTGTGTGCTGGACTGGATGGGCCACTGGCCTGATCCAGCATGGCTGCTCTTATGTTCTTATGCCTGGGGAAGTGATGCTTTGTGTTCTCGGTGCTTTGGGGGCAACAGTGGGAGGGCTTCTGGAGTTCTGGCCCCACTGGTGGACCTCCTGAGGGCACCTGGGTTCTGGCCACTGTGTGACGCAGAGTGTTGGACTGGATGGGCCGTTGGCCCGATCCAACATGGCTTCTCTTACGTTCTCCACAGTGCAGCCCCTAGATTAGCTTCCGACACTGCGCCCCTCTTCTATGTTACCCTCGCAACAACACCCCTGCGAGGAAGGCTAGGCCAAGCGACTGACCCAAGTCACCTGCTGGGTTTCCCTGGCAGAGAGGGAATTTGAACTTGGGCTTCCCAGGTCCTAGTTTGACACTAACTCGTACACTCTGGGGGGCTCGCAGACATACCACCCTGGACTTTTGGGAGGAAGGGCAGATAGGGATCCGAAGTCCCCCCGGGGGGCGGGTAAACCCCCGCCTCAGAGGCCCGTTCCCCGGCGCCACCGGATCGGGCCATGGGGGGAACTCCTCCCCGACATGCGCGTCACCCGGAAGTGACACGGGCACGCTGGGGGCGGGGCCACGGCCATACAAGGGAAAACTCTATAGTTTTCCCTTGTATGGTCGTGGCCCTGCCCCCAGCGTGCCCGGCGTCATAACGTCACTTTGTGGTGACGTGCTCCGGGATCCACCCGGGAGTCCCCGCTGCAGAGGTAAGTTACACTTGGCAACCCTAAGGGCAGAACAGAAATAATGTGCGCCTAAGCAAGCTCTGCAAGCTCCTGATCAAAATGATTGCTCGCTAGGGTTAAAGAGGGCTGAACGCAGATGGAGGCTCGTCAAGGGGAGCAGAACAAGCAGCCCCCCCCCCCATGCTTTCGGCCTCCTCACCTTAAAGACAATTTGGTCTTCTCCACTATTCCAGTTCCACTTGCTCCAGCCGAAGGCGAACCCTGACGCGACCAGCGCCATCTGCTGGTAGCAGATGAGTTCTGCAGTAAGGTCCTAGGATCGAGGTAGAAGAGCAGACAGGAGGTGAATGAGGTACTCAGGCGGACGCCGGCAGCCTCCTAGTCCTGATGTCAAAAGGCGGCGGGGGGGGGGGGCTTAAATGGTTTCACTGGATAGCCCCAGGCCAAGCAAACATCTGCCAAAGAAAAGGAGGCTGACAGATCTGCAATAGAACAAAGTCTGAGTCTAGTGGCACCCTTTAAGACCAATGGAGTTTAATTCTGGATATAAGGTTTCATGTGCATGCACACTTCGACAGATACACTGGAAATGTGCATGCACGTGAAAGCTCATACCCAGAATTAAGCTGTGCTTGTCTTAAAGGGTGCTGCGGTGGCTCAGAGGTTAAGACGCTGAAGCTGCAGACCGGAAGGTCGGTAGTTTGGCAGTTCGAAACCCGGGTGCCACGTGATGGAGTGAGCTCCCATCTCTGGCCCCAGCTCCTGCCAACCTAGCAGTTCGAAAGCAAGAAACTGCAAGTAGATAAATAGGTACCGCTTCGGTGGGAAGGAAACAGCGTTCCGTGCGCCTCGGCATTTAGTCATGCCGGCCACGTGACCACGGAAATGTCTTCAGACAGCGCTGGCTCTTTGGCTTGGAAACGGAGATGAGCACCACTCCCTAGAGTGGGATTTGACTCCATTTCAAGCAAGGGAAACCTTTACCTTTACCTTTTAAAGGGTGCCACTGGACTTCTACTGCTTCAGACCAACGCGGCTGCCCACCTGAACCAGATCTGCAATAGCCATGCCCATCTCTGGCTTAGGAGGGAGCGGACTCAAAAGCAGCCCTCGCTGGGAGGGCCCAAGCTAAGTCCGATCTTATCGGGTCTCAGAAGCTAAGCAGGGTCGGCCCTGGTCTGTATTGGGATGGGACCCCCTGCTCTATATCCAGAAGGGGGGCGGGCCTCCAGGATCCCTGGGCAAACTGGCCTGGAGAAAAATTGCTTCCTGACCCCAAAGTGGCGATCGGCATTTCCCTGGGCGTGTAAGAAAGGGCCACGAGAACTAAGCACTGAGGCAACCCTCCCTCTCATGCTCTGCCCAAGTTCACAGAATCAGCCTTGCTGTCAGATGGCCATTGAGCCTCTGTTTGAGAACCTCTAGAGGAGGAGAGCCCACCACCTCCCGAGGAAGCCTGTTCCACCGAGGAACCACTCTGACTGTCAAGAAGTTCTTCCTAATGTTTAGCCGGAAACTCTTCTGATTTAATGTCAACCTGTTGGTTCTGGTCGGACCTTCTGGGGCAATAGAAAACAACTCTGCACCGTCCTCTCTATGACAGCCCTTCAAGTACTTGAAGACGGTGATCCTATCATCACATGATGGCTTGGGAAGGGGGATGGTGTCTCATTGGTTCAGCACATGAGTTTCTGCCCTGGCATCCCCAGGCAAAGCAGCGCCGGTGCTAGGGACTTGCCTGAACTTGCTTAGAGGAAGCTCTCAAGAGGCCTGCTCACTTGGACCAAAAAGATTTCTCGAGACCACTGGTCATCAACCTATGGGTTGGAACCCTCACTGGTGTTGGCCCCTTCAGAACTGCCGTTTTCCGTGCCTTTTTGGCAAGACCAGCCTGCTTAAGCACAGCACAGTGAATGAGGGCACCCAACACCTCCTGCCCCTGTCTACGGGCAAGTAGAGAAGATCAGCAAGCTAGCGAGGCACGCTAGAGGACTCCTCCGTGGCTCTGCCCCCCATCATGCCCCTCACCAGGGCACACTTCCTGGTGATCGACTCGTGCGCCTTTCGCCATTTTTCTTAAGTCTGCTGCTCACAGCCTAGCCTTGACACTGGTGAAGTCATAATTCTGGCTCCCTCAACTTCCTGTCACCCACAATGACAAACTCTGGTACCAAGGTACGTGACTCTGGTACCAAGGCCTGCAACAAACCAAGAGGCCGACTTTGCTCCCATATAGATCCTAGCAACACCCTCAGTGGACCCAGCAACATCGGCCGTACCATCTCAGGTTCCGGCTCCTGCTCATCCTCTTAACGTGATTTATGCCATCACGTCTCGACAATGCCCTTTCCTCCTCCGCATTGGACAAACAGGCCAGTCCCTTCGACAAGGAATTAATGGACATAAGTCTGACATAAGGAACCACAATGTTCAAAAACCAGTGGGGGGGACATTTTAACCTTCCAGGACATTCAATTGCTGACGTAAAAAGAGCAGTTCGTTTACAAAGTAATTTCCAAGGGCAAAGAGTGACTGCTGAATTGCAAGTGATAATGCAGCCTCAGGACAATGCATCCTCCTGGACTGAATTGAGACCTAGATTTCCTGTCTCATTACCAATGCTGATTTCTCCATGCCTACTGCACATCTCACCTAAATCCAATCACACCTGCAACATTGACACAGAGAGTACTCCATCTTTCTGTGTTATGCCTCTGAGGATGCCAGTCACAGCTGCTGGCGAAACATCAGGTCCTACAACGCCAAGACCACGGCCACACAGCCCGGAAAATCTACAACAACTAACACCTGCTATTGTCATTCACCTGCTAATATCATTCAGCATCGGAAACCACTTCCCTTTCCAATAAATAGGACAGATGGACTCCCATTCCAGCTGTATCTGAAGAGGTGAGCGGTGACTCACGAAAGCTCATCCCATGCTACATATTTTGTTAGTCTGTAAGGTGCTGCTCAAGTGGTTAAGACGCTGAACTGCAGGCTGTGGAAGGTCAGTAGTTCAGCAGTTCAAGACCCGGGTGCTGCAAGACGGGGTGAGCTCCCGACTCTAGCTCCAGCTCCTGCCAACCTAGCAGTTCGAAAGCAAGGAATTGCAAGTAGATAAATAGGTACCACTTCGTTGGGAAGGTAACAGCGTTCCGTGCACCTTGGTGTTTAGTCATGCCGGCCACATGACCACGGAAACGTCTTCGGACAGCGCTGGCTCTTCGGCTTCGAAACGGAGATGAGCACCGCAACCCTAGAGTCGGATTCGACTGGCTTTCGAGCAAGGGAACCTTTACCTTTACCTTTAAGGTGCTGCTAGACGCTTGCTCTTTTATTCCTGTCACATGACTGTGATGTCACATGCTTGCAGCTGAGTAGCATCCCATGCTGGAGCTAACAGTGGGTCTCAGATCGAGAAAGGCTGAAGATCATGAATCTAGACCAGCATATTCTTTCCAACTCTGGCTGGAATGTTCGCAGCCCTGACTCTAGTGAAATTTCACATCATCCAGGCAATCTGTGCTGCTTTTGCAATCCGGCAATCAGGTACACCCTCTGCAAACTTGGTAAAACTGTACCCCCCCCCCAGCTCCTGGATAGCTTGGTTGTCTTCCCTTTGCACCAAAGGAATCCGGCTTCATCGAAACAAATTACGATGGTTAGCTAGACTTACTTTCTTATTCAGGCTGACGTACTTCGACGAGTATTCGGCTGGGAAGATGTTCATGCCGGCTTGCTTCAGAGCGATGGTGAGGGCCAGTGGAGGCATCCATATACCTCTCAAGTTGGAAAGGAGGTCGGCGTCTTCCATCGTGGTGACCGATATCAGCATGCACTGGTTTTTCTGTCCCCAAAAGTGACAGGAGGTCACGTTAGCTGCCAAACGTCTTTTGACGCCTGCTTCCCGAATTCTAAATCCCGCTCTTTTTTTTTTTTTTGCCTGAGTTAAAACTCAAGGCATGCCCCGCTGCCGCGGCAAAAATTGCGGAACATTTGCAATGGAAGACCAAGCATGAACTACCATGAACTAAGTTGATAGGCTGGTTCAGGTGTGATGTTGAACCAACAGTTGGGGGCTACGTGAACAAATGTCATGCTTGCACGTTCCCAAGTCAATGACTGGCTTTTGCTTGGAGAAGAAGAAGAGAACGGATTGGATTTACACCCTGCCCTTCACTACCCAAGGGAGTCTCAGAGCGGCTTACAAACTCCGTTCCCTTCCCCTCCCCACAACAGACACCCTGGGAGGTGGGTGGGCCTGAGAGAGCTCTGACAGAAACTGCTCTTTTTCAAGAACACCTATGCTAGAACTACGGCTTGCCCAAGGTCATCCAGCAGGTGCAAGTGGAGGAGTGGGGAATCAAACCCGGTTCTCCCAGATTAGAGTCTGCGCACCTAACCACAACACCAAACTGTAGTGCAACTCATACTTTGCTGTCCTATCTGTACCGGCAAGCTATGGCTTATGTTCAGTCTTTCAACCACATGAAGCTGACTTATACAGAATCAGACCCTTTGTCCATTAAGGTCAGTGTTGTCTGCTCAGACCGGCAGCAGCTCTCCAAGGTCTCAGTCGGAGGTCTTTCACATCACCTACTGCCTGGTTCTTTTAACTGGAGGTGCCGGGGATTGAACCTGGGACCTTCTGCATGCCAAGCAGATGCTCTGCCATTGAGCCACAGCTCTTCCCCTGGAAGAAATGGCTGTTTTGGGGGATGTTTTGGGGGGTGGCATCACACCTCAAGCTCCACCACCAAATCTCTAGGAATTTCCCACCCCGGAGCAGCCCGAAACCTGGCCTGCTAAAAAGGCACACCACAAACATCCCGCCCAAACGACGCGCACACACACACAAAAAGGCATATATTGCCAGAAAATTCTAAAAAGCAAGATGCTTATCTTATTATACATGTAGTGACAGCTGCAAGAATATCATATGCCAAATACTGGAGGGAAAATGAGGTACCTTTAAAAGAAGAAATTATGAATAAAATACTTGAAACAGCAGAGATGGACAAACTAACTTCAATTCTGAAAGGACACAATGAAGAAAACTTTGAAAATACATGGTTAAGATTTTACAAATGGATGGAAGAAACCAACAAATAAACTGTGTGGACATACAACTGAAAAACAAGGAGATATGAACTATAACTCCTTTTTTTTTAGTTATAAGCAATGATATATTTTAAAATATGAGGTGGAAAACATTGAAAAATACAATTTGGTAATGTATGAGTATGAGGCAATTTAACAGACAAATTCATGTTGTAGATGGAAGCCCCCCTTTTGTTGTATGTATTTTTGTTTGTCTATTTTGTGTTTGTCTTGTATGGAAAATAAAAAAGTTTCACCCCCAAAAAAAGGTTTCCTATTTTTTTTAAAACCACAACAGTTCCATTCAGCTTGTCGCAAACCACAGCCAGATCCGGCCGCACTCAACCACTTGGCGCGCTCAATATCTTGAGAGGATCGGGCCGCAAAGAGCATCTTCACGCACAGCTCCGCACAGCACCGCCGACACCCTCTTGTGGTGCTTTTCATGTTGTCCATAAATGCCGCGCTCCTGGCAGAGGGTTAGGAACCCAAACATGCACCGCAGCCGTGGGGGGGAAAAATCTAATTTTCCAACAGTTGTATTTCAAAGCCGATTCACGCCTCGTGCGTGATAAAGGTCTGAGCCAGTGGTCCTTTCCTGGAAGAGGGGGACTCAAGTTAGCGGGTGTGCCGTGAGGCGGGTGAGCATACCTTGACCTGAATCTGCACCTCGGCAAAGGTGGTGAGGACCGTGAGGATGGCTTGGTCGGCACCGTGGGGCCAGAGCTCCCAAGACTGGTAAGGCATGTTGAGATGTGCGTCCTGCAGCAGCGTGACGGTGCTGAAGCCGTTCATCTTGAAAGAGACTTCCTTCTCCTTCATGTCATAGACCACGTCCCCGACCGCGTCCGTGCGCCAGAATTTGCCTGGGAGAAGGAGGAGAGATTGGATTTATACCCCGCCCTTCACTACCCAAAGGAGTCTCAGAGCAGCTTACAATCACCTTCCTTACTTTTCCCCACAACAGAAACCCTGTGAGGTAGGTGGGGCTGTGAGAGCTCCTCCAAGAACTGCCCTTGAGAGAACAGCTCTGAAAGAACTTACGTCTGACCCCAGGTTCACCCTAGCAAGGAGCATGGACTTGCCATCCGCAGTGATAGAGGGACAGTACAAAGGGATCCCTTACGGGCTCAGGCTCTGCACTTGTTCCCAGACTAGGGTTGCCAAGTCTGATTTTCGCCGCAGCCGGAGACTCCCTGCTGGCGGCTGGGGAGTGCGTGCGCGCGCAAAGCACGCACCGCATCTACGTCACTCGGAAGTGACGCGACCATGCCGGGCACGCATAGAGTTTTCCCTCGGATGACCGTGGCCCCGCCCCCAGCGTGCCCAGCGTGGTCACGTCACTTCCGGGTGACGTGCACGTCAGGGTGGGGTCCCCCCTGGGGCCCGATCTGCCGGCAGCGGGGGATGGGCCTCTGGGGTTTCCCTGCCCCCCGGGGGGACTTGGCAAGCCTATCCCGGACTGAAATAGACTCTCCGGAGCATATATATTTTTCATTGCTCTTTCCATGCAGTGAGCTGAAAGTAAATCATCGGCCTGCTGCTGGAAAGGTTCCCAGGAAGATCAAACAAAACTAATTAGAATACCTGTTGTCGGATAGAAATCATCATACATCAAGACAGGTGGCTAGGTTCTGCGCCCAGGTATATGAGGAACGCAAAAAGCGAGGCCAATAGACCATATCTCTACCTTTCAACTAAAATTGTTTTAAACTGACTTTTTAAAATGGTTTAAAAGGTCGCGAAGAGTCGGACTCGACTGTGCGACTGAACAACAACAACAACAAAAGGTTTGAACAGTAGTTCTACTTCCTTTATATTCTATATCACTTATAAGCTTTTATGTTACGAAGGGTTTTTTCTGGCTCGTAACCAGCCAGGATACTGCCAGGAATTTTTCTATTTGTCTTTCAAATTGACATGTACTGGTCGATGAGTGTAATAATAAACTGACTGACTGACGGACCGACCCAGGGTCACGCCAGCAGCTGCATGTGGAGGAGTGGGGAATCAAACCCGGTTCTCCCAGATTAGAGTCCGCGCTCCTAACCACTACACCAGACTGACAAAGGTGGAGGGACAGGAAGGAAAAGGGTGTCAGTCGGCACGGAGAGGAAGGACCCAAAGGATGCCCATTTCTGTAAGGGCAGACTGGACGAGCGGCTGAGGAATTTCATGACTAAAGTTCTTGAGTAGGTTTTTTTTTAATAGTGCAACTGTTATTTATTTATTTATTTATTTATTTAGAAACCTGCAGATGCTGCCTCCCCAGGGCAAGGTTCCCTCTAAGCCGTGGAGTCTTGTGAGCAAAAGTTCTACCTTGTGAGCTACTGGCATGAAAGCTGTGAGCGAGCAATTTGGCTACTGCATAAATTAGATTGCTCTGGAGCCCTCCTTCCTGAGCTGAGACAAAAATGCGGGGGCCAGAGGCTAAAAAACTGTGAGCTAGCTCACACTAACTCAGCTTAGAGGGAACATTGCCCCAGGGGCTTGCTTGAGACAACTCACGGGATAAAACAATCCAGCAAAACCATCTTAAAATGCATGATCATTATCTGACGGAAGGAGCTTTGAGTCTTGAAAGTCAGCCTGGTGTAGTAGTTTTCTCCACCCTCAGGAGTCTCAGAGCAGCTTACAATCGCCTTCCCTTCCTCTCCCCACAACAGGCACCTGGTGAGATAGGTGGGGCTGAGAGAGTCCTGAGAGAACTGGGACTGACCCAAACTCACCCCACAGGCTTCATGTGGAAAAGTAGGGAATCAAACCCGGTTCTCCGGATTAGAATCCGCCACTCTTAACCACATGAGAGCCAGTTTGGTGTAGTGGTTAAGTGCGCGGACTCTAATCTGGGAGAACCGGGTTTGCTTACACCTGCTGATGTGACCTTGGGTCAGTCACACGCTCTGGCACAGCTTTCCTTGAAAAAGAGCAGTTTGTGTCAGAGTTCTCTCAGCCCCACCCACCTCACAGGGCGTCTGTTGTGGGGAGGGGGAGGGAAGGGAGCTTGTAAGCCGCTCTGAGACTCCGAGTGAAGGGCGGGGTATAAATCCAATCTCTTCTTCTTCTTCACTGTACCACTTTGGCTCTCCCCACGACGGGCACCTGGTGAGGTAGGTGGGGCTGAGAGAGTTGTGAGAGAACAGTGACTGGCCCAAGGCCGCTTCATGTGGAGGAGTGGGGACTCGAACCTCGTTCTCCAGATTAGAATCCGCCGCTCCTAATCACTACACCACACTGGCTCCCAACGTCCTGGGGAAGAATCAGAGGGAGCAGATGGAAGGGGAGCAGACCACTTCTGCATTAACACTGCTAGGCACATGCCCGGAAACAGCTTGTTTTCAATGATTGGCCGGCCATGTCAGACCTATGGGGTCCCATCTTCCAATCAGAGGCTCTTCAAAGAAAATCACGCTGTCCAGGAGGGTGACGGTGAGCCCTACAGCGTAGAGAGAGGTATCTTCCGATTCTTCGCACATCGCGCTGTAGGGATAGGTTTCCAAACCGGTATCCAGCACCTTTGGCAAGGAGAAGAGGGAAAAAAACAGAAAATGGTTTCGTCCTGTTTATTCCCCTCTCATTTTTCGACTTTTCGTTTATTCTGCTTGAGAATTCGGCTCACCACCTTCCAACCTTAGGGGGTTACTCCTGAGGAAGACTAATGAAATGAGTATAAAACCGGGTGCTCGTGGAGGATATCGTGATGTTGGACTTTTCCTTGAATGTGCCAAAATTTCCGAAGCATGATTGTCATGTTTGAATAGACACACATATTGATGTTCACATGAATTATTAAATGTTATTTTTATCACAGTGTTTCCTTATTTTTTTGGTATGTACCGACAACTGTGATCCCTTCCTTGTACTCAGCTTCCAGGTGGTGGCTGGAGGTCTCCTGGGATCACGACCTGATCTCCAGGTGACCGAAATCAGTTCACCCGGAGGAAATGGCCTCTTTGGAAGGCGGACTCTGTGGCATTATATCCCACTGAAGTCCCTCCCCTCCCAAACCTGCCCCTCCGCAGGCTCCACCCCCCAAATCTCCTGGTATTTCCCAACCCGGAGCTGGGAACCCTACTGTAGGACAACCACGACACGGGCTTGTCTCTTGTTTACCACCCATACGTAGTGCTGCTAAGCTTATTATTGATATTATTATGGGGTTTTGTTTATTAAATGCCCCCCCAAAAAGTACAGCACAAAAAAAGAGGCGAGAGTGGCTGTTTGTCCTAGTATGTTCCCCAGAGAGCACTGAGATCAGGATCTCAAAACCGCCTGGCCCTAAGGAAGTCAGGTTGACAGTAACCAGGGCGAGGGCTTTTTCGTTTGTAGCTCCGTCCTACTGGAACAAGCTCCCTGCCGAGATTAGGGCCCTGCGGGACTTGTCACAGTTCCGCAGGGCCGTGAAAACAGAACTTTTCAGGCAGGCGTTCCGATAGGAGCGACGTTTTACCAGCTGCGCCCTGTAGTGAACCCCAATCCTTTATGATCTAATGCGGTGGTACTGCCGAATGTGTCCTTAAATTGCACCTTAGTTCTATCGCCATCTAATTAATGTTTTAATGAATGTTTTACATTGATTGCTGTGTTTTAATTGATGTTTTATAATCTATTATGAATGTATACTGCTTGTCAGTTCTTGGAAGCCGCCCTGAGCCTGCCTAGCGGGGAGGGCGGGGTAAAGGTGAAACAAACAAACAAACAAACAAATAAATAAATACTTGACGGCATAACTACGCAGCAGAGAGTGCTGGGAGCTGTAGTCCTATGCATGGAGGACTATCAGTGCCCTACTTGAACAATAGTTCTCAGGGTTCTTTGTAGGCAGTTCTGTCATTTAAACTGATCTAAGACCATTGAAAGCTGTAGAATAAATCCCTCAGAGCTGTTCAAGGTCTAGCAAACTGAGAACCGGCTGGGACATAGCCAGTGACTCTGTTCTGCTGATGGTGGAATTATCCACTGGCATTACGGTTGCCATTCCCCCAATGGAGGCGGGGTTCCCCCAATTTCGGGGAGGGGGGCAATCCACCACCAGCCAGCAGGCCGGCAGGGGAGCTCCGCCCCCAAAGAGCCCCACCGCGATGACGTCATGCGGGGGACGCTCTAGCATTTAGCTAACAACTCTATGGTGACCACAGAGACCTTGGGGAGTGGCATGGAGCCCCCCCACTGGCAGATGGTAAGAACCTGGCAACCGTAACTGGCATAAGAGAGTTTGCTGGTGGAGGAAAGTGTGGCCAACAGTGGTATGAGGTCATTAGCCACAAACCTTAGTATTTAGGGAGACCATTCTATCTAACAAGCAAAATAAGTGCTTTCCTAAAGTCCTTTCTTTTTTGATTATCAAAATTACCTCCACCATGGTCCACCCTTTAACTTGTTTGGCCTGGGGTGGAAGTTTCAGGGCATCAAAATAGTACACGCCTCCCACTGGCATGAACTGGTGCAAATCCACAATATAGTCTTCCGGCAGTGACTCTTCTTCCATCTCGGGGAAATTCAATGCAGAAAACTGAGCTAAATGACAACAAAAATGTGAAGGAGTCCATTTTTCAAAATTCAAAACCATCGCCATTCAAAACCATTGCACAATTCAAAACCATTGCACATGACTGAGGTCAATTGTTCTTCATTCCCAGTTTAAAATGCCGACTGTGTTATTGTGTATGGTTCTGAGTTATTGCTCATTGTTCCTGTTCAGGCAGCCATGTTGCCGTTGCACACAGAACTGGGTCAAGTCTGTAATTCCCAGTCTGAAGTAGTCACTCTGCTATTGCACATCATTCTCAGTTATTGCTTGTTATTCTCTACTCAAAACAGGTGAATAGCTATTTGATATTGAACCAGTCTAGTGCTCAGTGTTTTCCCGGATCAAAACAATCAGCTCACCATTGCACATGAGTTTCTGTTGGTGTGCAAGGATCCCTATTTTAAAAAGGTGCACAGCTATCAGGAGGTCCACTAGTGGTGCCAGAACTCCAGAAGCCCTCCCACTGTTGCCCCCCAAGCACCAAGAATACAGAGCATCACTGCCCCAGACATAATAGAGTTCCATCTATAAGAACATAAGAGAAGCCATGTTGGATCAGGCCAGTGGCCCATCTAGTCCAACATTCTATGTCACAGTGGCCAAAACCCAGGTGCCATCAGAGGGTCCACCAGTGGGACCAGAACTCCAGAAGCCCTCCCACTGTTGCCCACTCCACCATTGCAGCACATACCACATGGCACACAAGCTTATGGACTCTCAATATCGTCTACAGCTGCATTCCCCTATCAGAGTCCCCAGCCCCACAAAGCCTTACATCGCAACTGATTTTAACTGTGTTAGGATTAGAATGCTCACACCATTACTCTAATCCTCGTGGGAGCCCCGCGATTACAGAACAACCTCCCGAGGGAGGGGCACCTTCCACCCCCTTCAATTTTTTGGATGCAACCAAAGACAGGTTTTATTTAGGACTGTGTTTGATTACAGCGGTCTTAATCTGTGACTTCAAAATTTTGGTTTCACATATTTTCACGTGCTCTGTTTTAACGCATTTTATTTATACCGTAAAGCTCCTGGAGCGCCTTCAGGAAGAAAGGCAGCTAACAAATGTTTTAAATAAACAAGTAAATAAATAACTGACGTTGTTTTTGCCCTCCCACAAAAATCGAAATCCTTCCATTTCCCACATCCACCCACCTGGATCATTTTAATAAACAATTTTTTAAAACTGCATAGGGAGGCGCAGAAAGGCACCTCCCCACCCCCCGCAGTTGTTTTGTTGTTTGGTGCCAACACGGTTTATCCGAATTCCAAAAGCGCCTGCTGGCTCTACAAGGTTGGGGACCCCCGCCCTACGGGGGATGCCTTCCAATATCGATGGCAGGGGACAGACCAGGCCTTAAGATTTCAATGGATGGTGTTAGCTATGATTCATCTGTTGGATATTGTAACTCTGCATGCAAGAGGATCTGGTAGGGAGAGGGTTAAGAGAATTCTCTCTGATTGGGGTACACTGGGCAGTTGGCCCCCATCCTCTCACCAGTTAGAGGCTGAGCCTCTTTGGCCATTGCTTGCCTTCTATTTTATCTTATATAAGAACATAAGAGATGGCAATGTTGGATCAGGCCAAAGGCCCATCCAGTCCAACACTCTGTGTCACACAGTGGCCAGAAATACCAGTGCCATCAGGAGGTCCACCAGTGGGGCCAGGACATTAGAAGCCCTCCCACTGTTGACCCCCCCCAAGCACCAAGGCATTTAGACTGAGAGTCTATATATATATAGGACCTCTCTTCTTCTGTCTCTTACCTGGGCTTGGAGCCTTAGCAAGTTAACCTTTTTGAAGTTACTCGGTTCACCATGACTTAAATGCACATATGTGAATATGTCATGTAAGATGTATTTCTATCCTTGTAAGTAAAAATTTCTTTCTCTTGTTACCACTGGAGTCAGATCATCTTTGTAATTTGTTGGAACAGCCTTGTTTCCCCTTAACAAGGAAACGTGGAGGATTGGGGGCACTGCGTAAAGCATCTGTGCTTCCAAGGCAAATTATTATTATTATTTTTTTTACATTTAACCCAGGATCACCAGCATCATGGATCAGGTACCTCTGGAAATAGAGTGCAAGGTCATGGATTTTTTCTCGTAGACCTCTATTGGGATTTCTTCCACCACCGCATGTTTCGTTTCTTTGAAGGAGACGGCACTTGTGTGTGTCTAGGTAGGAAGGATGCACAAGGAAAAACACATTAAAAAAGGCATTTAGACTGAGAGTCAAAAAATACTTTTTAGAGAAGACTTTGGCCATTTAAAAATACCGCAAGGGCCCGTGGTGGGACCACACAATCTTGTCCGTCCCCCCATGCCTTTTCAAGTGCTGAAACAGTCCCCCATGGCATTCTGAAATAGCCAGATTCTTCTCTAAGATGGTGTCGGCCGCCACAGGTCAGATATGTGGCCGCCAGAACGTCTAGTTCGGCCCTGTCATAGAACAGACCGTCCTGCTTCTGGAGTGAGGGGCAAAATGGCTGGGGTAAAAAAGCTGACAGGAAGAATGTTGATTCATTTGAAATGTGGAGTTGAAGGAGAGTTTTATAGATATCGTGGACTGCCAAAGAGACAAATAAGTGAGTTTCAGATCAAATTGAGCCTGAACTCTCCCTAGAAGTTAAAATGACTCAACTGAGGCGATTGTACTTTGGTCACATTATGGCCGCTGGAAAAGACAATAGGAAAAGTTGAGGGCAGCAGGAAAAGAGGAAGACCCAACATGAGATGGATTGACAACATCAAGAAAGCCACGGCTCTCAGTCTTAGGGTTGCCAGGCCTCACCTCGATCCCGGCAGGGGGCTCCGGCCCAGTTCCTGGAGTCTTCTGGCCATGCATGCACCGCAGTGATGTCACCCAGAAGTGATGTCATCATGCTGGGCATGTCATTCAGGGGACACTCTAGCATTTGGGTAAAAACTCTATGGTCACCATAGCGTTTTTACCCCGATGCTAGAGCATCCCCCACCCAACATGCCCAGCACGATGATGTCACTTCCAGGTGATGTCATCACGCCGGGCACATTGGGTGCACCGGGACTCTTTGGAGGCAGGGTTCACCTCCGCCGGCCAGCTGGCCGGTGCCGGATTGGGGGCCCTGAAACCTGGGGAAACCCTGGCCCCATCAGGGGGTTGGCAACCCTACACAGTCGCCAAGACCTGAGCAAGGCTGTTAATGATAGGACGTTTTGGAGGACATTAATCCATAAGGTTGCCATATGTCGGAAGCAACTTGATGGCACTTTTTAAAACTTTAAATAGAGCATGCTAAAAACACTAGCACTCTTGCAATATTTTGTCTGTTTAACAGTCTCTGATAACTGACACCTCTGCTCTGAACTATTGCATCAAAATGTCTGTGCTGTAGCAATCTTGAGTATGCTGTTCAGGTGTGTATCTGTAAGCTGCAAACCTACTTTTAATTTATTGACATTCATTACAGAAATCTCATGCTCAGTGTTCTGAGCCTAAGACCCAGGGGAAAACATGAAATGGCTGGGCATTGCAACCTTTTGTACATAAGTTGCTTCATGTGCTGGTTGAGAACATGACAAGGCATCCTGACACAGACTAAGGGCCATGTGTTTGTCTACAAAACTAGTCTTCCCCAGAGAAATAACTACAACTTCCTACAAAGGAAATGTGCTGGGTGAACTTGGTCTGGACACACACTCTTAGCCTAATCCACCTCAATTGTTTGTTGTTATGCCTCCTCTAAAATAGTTCACATTGCTTTCTTACTGAGAAAGACTGGATCATGAGGGCATGAATACATAAGAACATAAGAGAAGCCAATGCAGGATCAGGCCAATCCAATGGTCCATCCAGTCCAACACTCTGTCACACAGTGGCCAAAAATACCAGGTGCCAACAGACGGTCCAGCAGTGGGGCCAGAACACTAGAAGCCCTCCCACTGTTGCCCCCACCCCGAGCACCAAGAATACAGTGCATCACTTGCTCCAGACTGAGAGTTCCTATCTATACCTTGTGGCTAATAGCCACTGATGGACCTCTGCTCCATATGCTTATCTAAGTCCATATGTTTATCTAAGGGGGGAGGGAATCCAGTTGTATTCAGGACAGCCCTGGCATAAAGAGCCCAACAAAACGCACACACACTGTAGCAAGGCACACAAAAGCTCATACCTTGAACAAAACGTTTTTGGTCTTAAAGGTGCCTGGTATTTCTCCCATGCAACTGAGGCAGCAAAGCAAACTCTCCCTCATTCCCTCCCTCCCTTCAGGGAGGAGCCTCAGCCAGTGGAAGGAAAGAAAGGCTTCTTTTTGTCTCCTGCAGCCTGGCCAGGAAGCGAGCTCTGGCTGTTCCCTCCCTCCCCCTGGGAGGAGGAGGGGGAGGAGCCTCAACCAGTTCTTTACCAGTCTCTTTCAATCACACAGGAGAGGCTTGCCTATCTATCTCTCCTGTGTGATTGAGAGAGACTGGTAAAGCAAGCTGTGATGTGGCAGCAGCAAGAGAACTGGACATTTTAACACATTTTGTTATGTTTTTTATATTGCAAATATCTGCCATAAGTAATATTCATTGTATAAAATACATTTTAGTGGTGTTATCTCTTTAAGGGGTCACAACAGAACTGTGAAGGGGGGGGGGAAACGACTAAAAAGCCTTCGTTTTCCAAAAGCCAACACATATAACTCCATCCACTAATAGGATCCAGAAACATGGCCAGGACTGAATTCATAATATTTACATCAAGATTGTGTATTGTACTAGTACCATTCTCTACTGTCTTTGACCACAGACCTATATATATTGACTCATACTTATGAAATGTATTTTATACAATGAATGTTACTTATGACAGGTATTTGCAATATAAAAAACATAACAAAATGTGTTAAACTTTATAGAGTTTTTCTGCGGTGAGTTATGTATTTTTTCCCTCTATATTTACACCAAAGCCTGTGTGGGGTTTTTTGGTTTACAAAGTCAAAGCTATAGCCGGTGTAAGATCAGTCCTTGTTCCCAACCAAAACCTGGTGGGGAGGAATTGAAACAATGTGGTAAGAGCACAAGAAGAGCCCTGCTTTCATTACATTTTGCGTGAAGCAGCAGAGTTATTGTATCACAGCTTGTGTTGATTTCTGTAACCACCGGAAGGCTGGCAACCCTCATTTTTGGCCATGTCAAGGACTCTGTTGGGTTATGTTTGTATACTACTAAATCTTCAACTAAGGTTCACGATTTGGTCACTTATGCAATACCAGGGGTCGTAGAAAAAGAGGTGCAGGAGCTCATTAGCATAACTCATTAGCATAACTTATTTGCATATGCCACGTCCCCCTGACATCACCGAAAGTGTGTCAGAAGGCAACACCCACCGCTCAGGCTCCACTGGACTCTTTTGGATTGCTAGCTATGGGAGGGGGGGGGAATGTGCAGATCTGTCCTCACAGAGGAGGGAAAGCTTGTACCTGAATAAAACTTGGTCTTAAAGGTGCCACTGGACTGTTTTGGACCGGGGGGCCAGGTGGGCTTTGCAACTTACCTGGCTGCTTCTTGCTCTGACTGAGGGCTGCTGGGAGCAGGGGGTGGGGCTTGTTGCATGTGCCTCCCCCCTGGGCTCCTTACTGCCAGAGCTCTGCTTCTGTGCGCTCCTGCAGGAAATGACCCCTGTGCAATACTATATGCTGGCCTTTCTGTCTACCCCAACTTACCTTCACTGAGTGAGTAGATTGCCCATGATAGAGTTCCATAACTGTCTCTTCGGCCATCTTGTGATCCCCGTCTGCTTCCTTCACCTCAGTGGTCCCAGGGAGGGGAGGACCTTTTGCCAGGAAGTCCAGCTTTGGGGGCTCCCTTGGAAAAGTCTCCAAGGGGGATAAGTGGTCGTAATAGGTGTGCAAGATGCGAACTGCAATATCGCAGATGGTCAGTGGTTTGGGGAGATCGAAGCCATTTGTCGGGTTCCGGTCTTCATCGCGAAATATTTGGCTTCTGAATCTGGTGGGGAGGAATTGAAACAAAATGGTAAGAGCACAAGAAGAACCCTGCTGGATCAGACCAGTGGTCCATCTAGTCCAGCATCCTAAGAACATCAGAAGAGCCCTGCTGGCTCAGACCAGTGGTCCATCTAGTCCGGCATCCTAAGAACATCAGAAGAGCCCTGCTGGATCAGACCAGTGGTCCATCTAGTCCGGCATCCTAAGAACATCAGAAGAGTCCTGCTGGCTCAGACCAGTGGTGACTCTGAATGTGGAGGTTCCCATTAGTCACCATGGTGGGGTTTCCACCCTCCAGGTGATTGCTGGTGATCTCCTGGGAATGCAGCTGATCTCCAGGAAATAGATATCAGTACACTTGGAGAAAATGGCTGCTTTGGAAAGTGCACTCTATGGCATTATGCCCCACAGAAGTCCCTCCCCTCCCCAAACCCCGCCCTCCTCAGGCTCCACCCCCAAAACCTCCAGGTATTTCTAAACCCAGAGCTGCCCACCCTTCCCCATGGCTAGCAGCCACGAAGGGACCATCCTTCATGAATCTTCCTAACCCCCTTTAAAAGTCATCTATGCCTGTGGCCATTGCTACAACCTCCGGCACTGAATCCCACACTGCAGTCACTCACTGAGTAAAGACGTATTTCCTTTTGCCCATCTTAAATCTACTGCCCTTCAGCTTCATTAGAAGGCCTCAAAGTTGTAGTACTTTGGGAGACGGACAAAAAGTTCTTTTTTTCAGCTCTCTCCACCCCGTGCGTCATTCTAGCAACCTCTATCGTGTCTCCCCGTAGTCGTCTCTTTTCTAAACTCAAAAGTCCCAGACTCTTCAGCCTTTCCTCATAGGGAAGGGGCTCCAGCCCTCTTCTGTATGTTTCCCGACTCTGTGACTTCCTTTTTGAGATACGGCAGCCACAACGGGTACGGAAACTGACTCGCACAACGTACTTTAGGTTCTTCTTGAGATTCGCCCAAATGCACAAGGTGACGTTGGCGTCTTGGATGACCACCTCCATGTTTCCACTCTCGGATTCGGCGTAACTGCTGGCTTGCTGCGGAGACCGCCAAAGCAAACAGAAGCATTAAGCTAAGTGAAAGGAGAACGCATTCGATTCAGACAGAAGTGCAGAGTGCTCTCATAAGAATGTAAGAACATAATCTATGTATACAGGAGTCCCACCTTTTCCAGTAAGCCAGAGAATAAACACAGAGACCAAATGCTGGATCAGGCCAGTCCAACACTCTGTGTCACACAGTGGCCAGAAATACCAGGTGCCATCAGGAGGGCCAGCAGTGGGGCCAGGACACTAGGAGCCCTCCCACTGTTGACCCCCCCCCCCCAGCACCAAGAAGACAGAGCATCACTTGCAACAGCCCGCGCGT